CCAGCAGGTCCAGGGTTGCTAGCTTCCCCCACTCTAGTAGCTCGGAAAGGGTCCCAACCAAGACACAGCCTGTCACTTACCTCAGCCCTCAGCTCCTCCTCAGTAGGCCCGGGCCTGAAAAGAAGTGTTTCGTGAAGGAGCGGCTTGCAACATCCAAGGAGCGTCACCGACAGCACGGCCCTCACAAGCCTTGGTCTTACGCCTGCTAAGCGCGCGACGGTCTGAGCACGGAACCTGACTGGCTAGGTGCTGAGCTTGTGGAGCCTTTGGGCTCTCAGTCGCCTCAACCAACGACACCAAACTGTGGGAACTGTCCGGTGTCCGTCTGGGCAAAAAAGCCCACCTCCTGGCTTGCCCTTCTGAAGCTCCCAAGCCACGGAGTTTCCAACTCTGACCTTTCTTGGCTAAGTGCCACGCCCGGTCTCTGGCCTTATAGATCTGACCTGAGCTTTCGTTTGATGATGTCCCTTTCGCAACCCAATCCATCTGCATTCATGGCAAATGAACAAGATCATAGGCCTCTCTTTATGGAAAGAGCTTTCCCTTGGTGGCTTCTTCTGGGGACGCTTCTGTGAAACACTTGAAGGAACTATCTTAGAGTTCTGGGTAAGCCCACAACTCCACAGGCAGGTCGAAAGAAGCTCCAACATGAGGTACCACACCCCAACAATGCCTTCACGACCATTCTGCAAGGGAAACTGGAAACCAGAACTGCAAACGCGTTAGTCTGGTTATCATGACAAGCAGTGGGTAAGCCCACAGCCTCATCAGAAAAGTTGAAAACATCTGGAAACAAGCGCCATTTTTTGCAAGCGAGACCGTTCAAAGCCATGAGTGTTCATGTAATCGAAGATCTCTCGACGGAACTGTCGTCCCTTTCCCAAGCAGTGGCCATGGCCGCAAGCGCACAAGGACTAGACGAATCAGGGGGCCCGAAGGGCCTGGTGGAAGTCACATCGGACGTGAGTCCTCGGATAACGGATCCATGACGTGGTTTACCCACATCGGATTTGGGAGGCTCCTCGCCTCCCCACTCCAAGGACGTGTCTTGCGGATCTGGGGCCCAGGCCTCCGCTCCTCCATCCTTGTCGGCCCTATGTTTGGTGAGATGACTGGCCGCATACGGCCTCAGCGTACTAGCTTCACGAATCAGCTGTTCAGGAGTCAGGGTTTTGTTTTGGTTTGCCGCGAGTCCCGCAGCGATGGCAAGGAATCCGCAATCGCCGGTGACCCCGGCGTCCTAGGTCCTAGATGAACCAAGGGTGTGGATTCAAGCAAAGAGCCATCCTCGTCCTTATTGGAAGGGTTGGGTTTGGGCTTTCGGCTACGGGCTGAGCGGCTTCGTGGTTTTGACGCCTCAGTGTCACTATCAGGCCAAGTGGCCGTAAGATCGTCACCAGCATCTTCATCAACAGCAATCGGGGTATCGAGCCCACATTCCTCATGAGTAGCTGGGAAGTCCTTGTCAACCCAGCGCCGCTTCGGCCCTGGGATGTTAACCTTCTTTGGAATAACACCAGAAGCAATCCTTAGCAGTGTCGCTAGGGGCGCAACCCGTGAAGGCCCATTCGGCGCCCGCGCATCGAGTCCAGCTCCTGCGCCGAGTAATCACACGAGTTTGGGTCCAATGCTGTTGGTGGAGCAAATGCGAAACATCATGTTGATCCCACGAGTGCGGAGCACCATGCATGACAAAGGTTTCAGGCCTGTCGAGGGAGTCCCAAGTGATCTCACCACCAACAATACCCAAATCACTCAAAGCATGTTGCCTGATGGCCAACGGTTTCCTTTGGTCCTCAGCAACAGAATGGACGGCGCGAAAGTATTCCTCAAAAGAATCTTCGTTTCTCTTAACCCCAGCCACTCCCGAAGGGGAGGAGCTTTTTGACGGAATCATCGTGAATATACCGCTGAAACCACTCTGTTGCGTAGCGAGGTTCGCGATGGCGACGGGGATACGAATGTGTCCTTGAAGCGTGGAGCCCTTGGTAGTGGTCACGCTCTGCCATGTCCCTCCTGTGCAAGTGCTGGCAGGTTTACCAAGCTTTTTAGGCGAGTTCCGCAATGATGGTGGTGGGACTGTCCCACGTGTCAGCATTGATGAACAGCTGACGGTATTGAGTCGGCGCAAGCACTCAAAGGGCGCTCATTTCGATTTTAGGTTTCGGTCGAAAGGTGGCCGTGATAGGGAGCCTCGGTTCAGGGCCTGTAAGTTGAGTACATCTAAGCTTCAACTGCTGCGGTGTTGAATCTGGGCTCGAGGCTCCGCACCACCACACTGCACAAGAAGGTTCCGAGCTAGATGCCGGCGCAACCTCAGCGAGCGTAAGGGCGTCATGAACATCAAATTAAAAGCCGCGATGAGGTTTTGGAGAACCTCACGCGTATCCTCAGAACGGCTGATAACCAGGTTACCGGGCAGCTCCTTTCCCTCCTCCAAAGCGTGCTGGATCTGATTCGGGGTGGTGAGGCAAGAATTGCAATTCCACTCAGCCGGCACAACTTTAGCAGCGAACCTTGCTACCATGACTTTGAGGCTTCTGCGATTCGGTTGAGGGTCCGATGACCTTGCGTTTCTGAAACTTGGTGCCTTCGGGGCTCTCAGGCTTGGTGGACTGCAAGTGGGGCCAATCACTCCGTTGGAGCTCATTAATCCCTTCGTCCGATTGTGCATGCCACTTCTTGCGGCCTTGCTTTTTCCAAGATTTCCACTGAACCCAACCTCATGAGCAGAATGAGCCTCGTACCACCCAGCATCTTCAACCTCAGCAGGGGAGCAACGCGCATGATAATCCTCGTCCTCGGGTGTAATTGCCGGGTGAGCCGCATGCAAACCTTCAGCGTGATCCTGAGGGGTTTGGATGACCATGTTAGCGATTTGTTGCATCGGATCGTGGCAAATGACAACTCAAGGGCATCTTGAGCTCTTTCATTTCTCATCCTAACCGTGCGCCTTGAACCGCCTGCCCTGGGGCTAGGATTTGAGGCCTCGCCAACCCCTGACAGCTAAGCAAGGATTCCAGCCTATGCAAAGCAGAACACTAAGCACGGGCTGCAAGATCTCTCGCATTACATGCCAAGACCTGGGTCCTGAGAATGATCCTGGCCATCCTGAGCGTTAAGGTCGGCGCCGAGGTCGTTACCGCAAATAGCGGAAGCTGCACTTGACTGAGCCCATTGGCCTCTGCTTAGGAAGTCTACCCAACGACCAATAATACAAGCGGCGGAGCCTAATCACGTCGGCATGTCGTCTGTACCTCAGCTTTGCTTGCTCAGCACGAGCCTTGCCAACCCATCTACACTTAATCACAACACGATCCTGAGTTGTGCGGGCAAGCCAGCACCTGCCAGGACAAGGCAAAGCTGACTGCTTGTTGGTGAGCCAACAAACAACCCCCTGACTACAGAAGTAAAACCCTCAGCATCAAAACGAGAAAAGTCCTCACAATCGCTGCTGAACAAGAACCCGGAACTAGACTCATCACCATCTGTTTCTGCAGAAGCATTTCCAAGCCATGGCTGAGCACGGCCGTGGGACGAAGCTCTACAGAGGAAGCCAGAAGGGCAGTGTTGATCTAAACTCGCAGAAAAGGCCTAATTGGAAGCCATCCGCGTAAGGAACCAACCAAAGCAAGACCAGGACCCGCAAGACCCTGAAAGAGCCACGTGACGGCTTCTTTGTCGATCGGGCTTTGGTAACCCGCAGGGGCTGTGTAGCCTCTTGAGAGGGCGCTTCGGCCTCTTTGTTCTGCATCTTTTGCTTTAGTTCGGTCCAACTGACCAATTATGTTACAGACCGCCCCTCATTTTTGTCCCACATCGTCTAAAAGTACTAAGTGCGCACTTCGCTCCACACGACACAAGCGCAGGGTCCGCGGAGGTGGTGAAGATGTACAGCACATAGTTGTTGAACGTGCCATAGGAGATCTCCCGAAAGGTCGTCCAAATCGAACTGCCGGTATGGTTGTGGCCCGGTGGTGGTAGGTCTGTGTTGGCATTGACATTCATTTTGCAGATTTCGGCATTGTATGAGAAGTAATCAAGGAAGCATTTCACATTTAGCAAAAATAGTTAATTTTGCAAAGATAAAGCCAAATTAACTGAACGTTCTTTGACATTCATCTGTCTGCGGAGACTGAAATACTGATACCTCACATTCAACTTTCGCTCTTGTCGATTCGTTAGCAATGCAATAAAAGCAACAAGCCAGGAAGACGAAATTGAGCAACACACCAACCCCTCCTAAGCTTGAGGACCGTTGTTGGGTTCCGAAGCTAGATTTTGTAGATGACCGTAGCGTGACTTACCAGAGGCTGTTATGCTGAATTGCAAGCCAAGGCTCAGAAAACGCCGGTCACGACATTCAAAATTGCGAAAACTGCAATGAAGATGTACAGCAAGAGCCTTCGCATGATTTTTTCTTGTAGATACTCGCTGGAGCAGGGGTGGTTTCCGGCTTCGACATGAAAAGCAGAGAAGTAGAGCCTTATACAACGAGTGCATGAGTATCCCCAACCCAGCAAAGTTTGAGCCCTGCGCATGTACACGCCCCAGCCCCTGCATGATTCACCCAGTGCGCCCAGATGTAATTCCTGAACCTCTCGATCCATCTCGATCCTTGAAGCCGAAACTGCCAAAGCTTGACTGGAAGCTCAGACTTGACAGCAGTCGCACCTGAATTCCAATTCGGCAGAATGCAAGACTATTTCTAATTCCTCTCATGCTACCAACTGACGTCGCAGCTGAGACCACGGGCACAGAGTTACCGAGTGGGGTCTGGCTGTGCTATGACAACAGGGACAACGGGGCCAAGCGCATCCAAACGCGCTGTCAGCGGATTATCTTAGAAATGACAGGAACAGAAACAATCGGCCGCTTCAGCTGATGTGGGATGTTGGCTTCCCATGATGCTGATTTCCTATAGTAGGCCCTTCAGCAAAACTCACAGAAGTCTTGACGTTGCATCTATCTGGTCAAAATGACCCCCTTGGGACTCCTGTTCACTCTTCCAGAACCGTGGACCTTGAAGACTTCAAGCGCGGATGCGGTCCCAGTAGCAAAGCTGTTCCCAGCGGGGAGAACTCTCGCAGTGGTCGGAAGGCTTCGTCCCAGCTGATCCCACCAGAAATAGCAAGGAACAGCCTCAAGCTTATGCTCTGGGATTGACTGGAATCGGGGGCTGCGTGGGCTGTTCCACGGCGGTTGTACCAGGTTGGAAGGAAGCTCAGCTAATTGGTTCAATGAAGAAATTGATAGATGGGGTCGGGTCTATAATCTCGTGTCTCAGATCACAGCTTAATAATTCTAAATCCAAGCAGCGTGAGCATGCTGTCCGGGACACTGGACCAATACTTCCTCCACGCATCATGAACTAAACAAGCCCGAAATGCCCACTAAAGCATGCGTTACTTAATGCAGAAATCAACGGGCAGCTTACATCTGACAGTGCCAATTCCAGGCTGCTTACAGGCTTACCTTTAACCTTGACCGTTAACCGGTCCTCAGATTCGCCGGACAGTCGGGTATCGCGTTGGGGTCATTGGTTCGGTCGATGGCCTGCAAGGCTTCAGGGCTGCTGAGCCTAGGGCTTAGGCAGCCCAGGGTCCATGAGGCAGTCTGCTATAGTGTTCCAAAATCAGGCAATCTACTTTGATTTCCGGGATTCCTCGATCCGCACAGACTGAAGCGCAGTGGATCTATGATTCATCGGTCGGACTCAGACTGATTGCTCAAGCATCTACCGCTGGCAAATCAGCCGCGACTGTGCACTCCAAGGGTTCAGCGGTTCCAGGGGACCTGGCATCACCTTGGGGTTCATGGTCCTTGATGAACCACCACCTTTCCTCATGCGCAGCCATCTCACAAGAGGTCAGGGTGACCTTCAAAGTTAGCCTTTGATGCTTGGAGTTACAGCCGTAGACAGACCCCCTTGTGCGGAATTCGACGTGAATCGTGCGTTGAAGCCCAATTACATCGCTCCAAAAAGAAGCTCAACTTGGCTCCACCCAACGACCGTCTGAAATGCAGCCCTACAGCTCTGATCCTCCCACATCATCTTGTGCGACAACACAGGACTGCTCTGAAGACGATTCCCTTTTCTGCTGGCCGGGCAGAGCTGCGAGGCCTCAAATCGACAGTGGTCCATCACGAACCTTGACTTTTCTTCAGACTGGCTTCACTCATCGAGGCCAAGTAAACTTGAGAAGAGGGCGACGAAAGCTAGGGGAAAGGAAGCGTAGCTGGGAACACGGGGTGACTAGTGAGGCGATGCGAATGACTTGCACGGGGGGGCACGTTTGACATGAAGACTACAACTGAAAAAAAGGCGTGGAGCCACGAGAGAGACGGAAGAGCTGGAGCCAAGCCGCAGCGCAAGCAACAGACTTCAAACAGAAGCAAACTGAGGGACCTTGCGAGGGGGGGGGGAGGGGGAGAGACTTGAAGGTAGGGGGGAGCGCGCTGCACCTTATCCTTCGAAGATACTTCATGAACGAGGTGAGGTGGGGGGCGGCACCCCCTCCCCCCCCACCCCCGACCTTAACTCTTGGACGTCCCACCTGATAAGGTGCAAACCCTGTTTTTACCCTAGTGCCTTAATACAAGGTGAATTGCTAAAGGACAACTCCCGCAAGCTCAACAGAGCTAGCTTTCGTGACTTGGAGACTGCGAGCCCCAAACAAAAACAGAACGAGTTGTCAGGGCTGCTGGCTGAGGGGCTGCGCGATGGCCATGCCGAAGGAGTAGCAAAGCGTAATGAGAAGCAGAAGTGTCCAAAAGAGAGAGCCTCAGCCACAGTCGGGAGCTCCCCTTGTACAAGAAACCCTCCTGCCGTCCAGGCCCCTGGAAAGGTCCCGGCCCTGGTCCCTTAACAGTCCTGGAAAGCTTGCTTACCGATCGTCATAGGACATGCTTCGCAGTTGCGAACACTTCGGGGCATGGCTGTCAGATTGATAGCAATTGGCGGCTCAATCGGCGATACCGCTCGTCACGGCAGCAGGAGCTAGACAAATACGTTTAAGAGATATCTGGAATCCCGCCGTTATCCTTCGTCTGTCGAGTACCACAGTCCTGCTCCAGCTATTGATAGTCACCTTCAGTCTTCTTCGAGTGTCCTGCAATTGGTTCTTCTGTTTCGTTCCGTTTTTCGTTGCACTCCTGTTCAAAAACCAGCGTTGCTCTCCAAGAGACCCGTGGTGGCGATGATAGACAGCAGGAGCGTTCGCAGAGCAACCACATAGCGAAATAGCCGAACCAGCCTGGCAGTTGCTTTCGGCTTTGGGTGCCTGTGCTCAGAGTTCCAGCGTCATTGTCCCCAGTCCGAAGCCGTGCTGAGCTGTCTTGGACTGGACCCTCAGAATCGAAGCAAGGCAGCGGCAGGGCAGCGGGGGCAGTGCAGAATTCCCCGTGCTTACCCTTGCCAGGCATCCTCAAACTCTGCAACCCGGAGACAAATCGTTCAAACGAACAGTGTGCATGTGTTTCTGAACATGTTGTGAGAGATATCGAGCTGGAGAAGCAGCCTTGTCAATATGGGCCTTCATCCTCATGTGAGGCAGAGCTTCTCAGACTCAAAACCGAAACAGGTGACATCACGGACACAATCGATCCTCATCCCTCGAAGGGCGCGTATGAGGCGCACGGTCCGTAGAATGCGCACCTGGACTGCGCATTCAGGCATTGTGCTTTTGGGTTTTGGGTTTCGGGAGAGTCTTCTTTCTTTGAAAAGTCCTGCTGCCTGCCTGGCACTCTTCATGCAAACTACGCGAGTCAGTAATTCTGTCTTCATATTCACGGCTGTAGTTGAACTTTCTGCTTGACCTAGGACTCAATGAACGCATCAAAGTTCCAACTTCGAGGCTGATGCCATCAGCCGTTCCTCGAGCGCACGACGAACTCCATGAAATGTCCCTGCATTCCCCAAAATCCTCTGGCAGGAGCGCTTGTCCGGAGTTCGCATCCAGGCTCTGTGCCCAGATGTCCAGGGCACATTCCTTTGCCCAGAAAGGCGTCAGAGTTTTGGCAGGGGATCTCAGGAGGAGACTAGGAGTCTGCATTTCGATCCTTGACCTGACAAGAACCGCCTCGATGCCAACATGGCAAAACGCTCCCTTCTTGCGAACGCCCCAATACAGGTTCCACATAGCTATTTTAACTAGTTTCCAGACCTTAGATCTGTGATAGGTCTGTCAGGAGGCTTCGAGAGTGTTCAGCCCACTCACGATCGACGTGAGCCTTGCCCCACGGCTCAAGTTTAGGCGGCATCTTCGTGTGGGTCTGAGCGAGCCGAGCAGCCACCACAGACACGACGACGACGGCGAAATCAAAGATGTTCCTGACGGGGAAAACAGTTTACGTTGTGTGAACCAGATGCTAGCAGCCACAACCCTTACATTATCCGACATCCTGAACAGCCTTGGCCGAAATCCCAAAAGCCAATGAACTTTACACAGAGCCTGTCCAACCTGCTGCTGCGCTCGCCGGTGAGTAGGAGAAAGGTCGGACATCTGTTTGCGCCATGTTTGCTGTGCATCGGGAGGGTCATCTAGGATTTTGTTTAAAGTCGCTAAATTCACCTCCAGTCCCGGCCCGAAACTCCCTCAACGGTCCAGCCGGACTCCGCTCCACACCAAAAGCCGCCGCAGCCAAAGGCCAGGTGCCTCGGGCTAAGGAACGGCAAAATCTGGTCCGAACCTATGTGACGAGAAGCATATCTACGAAAACAAAGCCGCACCGCGTCAGAATGCGCTTGCACGCACACACACACACGACATAAATACACACATACACACGTACAGGCCGGCATGCATACATGAGTACATACGATGTACACATGAATACAGAAAACTAAATGTCTCATACAAAAATAAGGTATGACCGGACAGAAAATCAATATATGTACTACAGGAAGCCGCAGCATCAGCAACAAAAGCACATTGCGATACACACACACTACTAGGAAAACTACGATGGAAGCTGCTACGCAAAACGAGCATGCCACTGGAAGCTAACAAGTGAGTACAAAGGCCCATCCAGCCGTCTTTCTAACCCCTGCCTGTCTGCACTCTTGCACTCTTGTCTCGGTAAAGCTGTCATCTGTTTGCCTTCTCTTCGTTGCCCGGGTCTGCCCGGTTCCTGTCCCGCCCGATGGCAAAATAGTAGTGATGCTCTGAAGCATCCTGTTCCGCTGCATGGGCTCTCCTTAAGTTGTTAGTGGCGCCTGCGCCAAGGAGCTTTAAGATCGTTTCGACCACAAAGCCAGTGACCATGACCAGATTCACCGTGTTGAACCATCCGGGGATGTCGCCCTGGCGGAGATCAGAGTCAAAAGCCAACAAAGCCTTACATCTTCGGCGATCCCACATCCCACGTTTACCTCAAGGACCCTGCCTGATGTCGACCTTCGCTCTGCCTGATTGCTGCCCCGCGCCACGAATGGTCCATTATTGGATGTGTTGGCAAAGCGCAAAGCAAACTCGAAGCCTATGAGCGTAGTAGTTAGTGGTCGTGATGCCGCGCTGCGTGCATGTCTGCAGGGGAAAGACGTTACTATCCAAAGGTTTCGCAAAAGAGAGCGCGAAACCATTGCTCCTGATGACAATGCATGATCCCTGTGGGAGCCTGGCCCAATGTAGACGAAACATCCACCTGCCCGGATGATCTCTTTTCCCTCTGTGCATCCACGGAGTTCACAGTTCCGCACTTGATGGCGGTCTTGACTCGCTGGCAGATCTTCCTTTCCATGCTTCTTAGCCCCAATGCCCTGTAATCACTGTCGTCATGGCGTCCTAACCCTGAAGTCCAATCCCACACGCTTCAGAATGTACTAACACCCACAAGTGTGTCTGCAGACCGCCCAAGAGCATCAAATTCCAACATCCGGGGCTTCAGCCAGCGCTCTCTGCCTGCCTCGATGCCCATGAGTATGACATTGGCCTCACTTGCCCACTATGGCGCTTTGGGCTCTCTGGGGCGAGTGTTTCTGGTCGAGCTTGGGTAGGGAAAGGTTCTGGTCCGATGGCCCCAGAGTTGAGTTTGGGATGAATCGGCCCAGCTCAAAGAGAACACACAACCCCTTGCCTATTTTCACAACACACACACACACAGACACACACCACACACACACACACACACACACACGTGATGAGCTTTGCAGCAACGCTCAAGACGAGACGGATGGAATGGAAAGAGGGCTTACGGACTGCGCGGCTGTCTTCACGGCGCTTCAGGGCTTCTGGATATCGGCTGGGGGGCGCTTGTTGTTGGTTTAAGTCGGCTTTGGCGATCGGGGTATGCGGAATACGCTTACATTACGTGACACTCTGTTTGTGGGTCTGTCATTGCCCCAAGCCAACTCAGAAGCCCGATGACCTATGAGCCGATCATGCACAAGACCTCACTTCAACTGGTGATGAGCATAATCGCAGATTTGTCGGAAAGGTTTCTACAGCCGGTGTTCTGTAATAACCAAATCAAGGGGCTCAGAATGAAACCTTAAGGCTTTGGGGGAGGTGGTATGCAATAACAAGGACGTGGATCGTACAAGCACACATTCCCGGAATTGTTGACACTCCTATTGTGTATAGTACGTCAATCAGTTCGTGTTCTTCATAAGTCTTGCCTGCAAGCTGGTGAGAGTGACTTAGCGAAACCATCCCTGCAGGCAAGTTTCCGGAGTCCTACATCCCCAGAATCCGAGGAGAACAGCAACAAGATCAAGGCCCATCGGCTGAGAACCAACCAGTCAGAATTAGAGCAAGGCACCATAATCAGAAACATGATCAGGTTGCTGAACCTGTCAGACGAGACCTGAGCTAGCATCGGGGGTCCTGCGCTTGTCCGGAATCGAAAGAATGTAGGGGTTTCTTAGTTTCTCGATCTGCTTCGGCGGCCCCAGGAACGATGCTTGACCGTCTGCTCTGCTTGCGTGGTTTATGTGCTGCTGTGAGCCGTAGTCACTGTACAGTGCACACTGCAACCTCCAGTGCATTCAACTACTCTGCCCAGATGTCTGTCGAAAATTCCCGCACCAGAGAACCGCAAAACCCGCAAAGACGCGAAACAGTAAGTTCTTCAGCGCTTCTGACACATCTTCAAAACGACAGTCACCCTCATCCCTATGGGTCGCAAAGTCTCCCGAATCACCTGAACAGAAAACAGAAACCCCACAGCGCGGCGTGTTCTGCTGCGGAGCTGCGATGCGTTCCAACCAGGTCCGCCAGGTCCGATCGCCGGCGCTCTGTTTCGGATTGAAGGGAGGGGTTTTAGGACTAGGAATGAAGGGTCCTTTTTTTGTCCCCTTTTTTAATTCCGTCCTTCTTTTGCCCCCTCCGTCTCTTCCAAGCACCGCCGAATGTTCGCTAGGACTGTTGAAATGCCTCGGGTTGAAGGGTTTGGGTTCAAGGCTTGGGCTTAGGGTTTGGAGTTTCGCAGTGCGGGTTGTGGTGTCAGTGCAAAGGTTCCGGGAAATGTCACGCGAAGCCCCCAAAGCCCAAACCATAGATCCCTAAACTCGATAAAAAAAAAACACCCGGCCCATCTGTACATGAGTTCTTGTTCATATCTGACTATTGTTCGAGAGTATCTGCTTATCTATGTGTGTAAGTATGCATGTACGCACAAATATCATATGAATACATGCATGCGTAAACGTAGCACTATGTGTATACATATATTAATACGCGAATGAAAATCTATATATATATAATATATATATAATATAATATAATATAATATAATATAATATAATATAATATAATATAATATAATATATAATATAATATAATATAAAATATAATATAATATAAAATATGATATATAATATAATATAATAATATAATAATATATTAATATAATATAATATAATATAATATAATATAATATAATATAATATAATATAATATAGTATAATAATATATAATAAAATAAAATATAATATAATATAATATAATCTAATATAATATAATTTAATATAATATGATATAATATAATAATGTATTGATGTAATATAATATAATATAATACAATATAAAATAATATAAAATAATGTAATATAATATAATATAATATAATATATTATATTATAATGTAATATAATATAATATAATTATATATATATATATATATATCTGTATATATATGGTTACGGGGTCGAAGTCGACCGATGCGTTTTGCATATTTTAGGAATATGCTGAAAATTGTGTGTGTGTGTGTATGTGCGCGGTATCAATCTTATTATCTATAGACTATATCAGCTTTGTCATCAACATTAACATCTCTATAATTTCTGTATTACTTGTCACACTGTGCAATCATTAAGTTGATGTTATGCTACATAACCAACATATAACTAGATCAGTTAGGACTACATCATCTATCTTATTAATAGTTCTACCAATCTTAACAGGTGCGATGCTTCACTAATTAAGGTTATTAACAGATATGCACTTAATGCAATAGCATTTGGTTCATATTTGGAGGTGATGCTATGTTCTATCAATGTTTGATTTAGTTCTTTGGGAATCCAGAAGTCTACCCTTCCAGCATTCGATAATCAATAGTTTAACAATAACTGGCTTATTGCATGTTTAGTGTCTTTGGTTAACTTGTCTATAATCGGATAACCTGAGCTATGAAGCTATGAGTTGTCTTTGTCTATTAGGATAAATTAGTTCGGGCACATCATATGTTTACAACTAGTGTGCGACAGTGATACAAGAGCTAACTTTACAGGTTAATACAGTGGATATATTATCATTACCAACTTGTTCGTTACGATCATGTAGTTGGTAGTCTACATCCCTGGACAAGTAATGCATGTCTACTGATACTATTTCACAACTAATGTTAATTGTTATAGTAGATCTTCAATATAGTCTGTTTACAATAGGTGGTTCAACCGGTATTATACTTGGTAATTAGTGCTGCTATTGATATAGATTTTCATGACTCTTATTATGTTGTTGCACTTTTTCATTATGTCTTACCATTAAGTACAAGCAATGCTACCCCATTAGGACTATTATATGTATTGTCTTGTGCAGTAAAACAATGCCTTACTAACACAAGGTGAACAGTGTGTTCTAGTGATGTTATGTGAAAGCTTACATCATCACATCTCAGTGGTTTCTCATGTTTAAGCCTAGTAGAGTGCAAGACTAAGGAGATTACTTAATATAGTGGTTGGAATGATACTACTTCAGTTGGTGAGAGGTTGCACGTTAGTTTCATTCTGTATCACTACGGAAGCTTGTCATGAATCGCGACTGCTGTGCAGATATGAGTCACCGGACAATAGAACTAGGCTATACTAGGCTTGAGCACGGAACACCGCGAATCACAAACTGTATACGGCATGAGTGAGACCAGTGATGCATGAGCGATATATGTGATGCAGCACACGACTGACACGCATCGGCTTCTGTTGGAACGCGCAGCGATTCATTGAACTGTCTGTCACGTAGCCAATGTGTCTCAAAGCGTCGACCCCTAAAAAACCAAAACCTCCAAAACAAAAAAAAACAAAACCAAAAAAATCAAAAATCCCATTCTTTCAGAACTCTACCATTTGTGTATATTTCTACTGTTTTTCTGGAAGAGCACTGAAATAATGCTTTTTTTTGATTTGTTTGTTTTTTTTGGTTCTGTTTTTTTGGTTTCGATTTTTGGATTGGGTTTTATAGGTTTGTTAAAGGAAAGGGGCTGGTGTTTCTTAGGGCTTGAATTACGACAACGCCCCTAAGCGCCAGAGTTGATAGTGATGTCGTGGAGGAGGCGGACCTGAACTGCGCAAAACGCAGTGGTCGAGTTCGGCCCCCGAACCCTATATATATATATATTAATATCTACACGACATGCTCACTACATATATACTGCTAGTTTGTAATGCAAGCCCAGTACCTGAAGCAAACCGTACAGTTCTACCTTGTCTGTGTTTCATGAACAGCTTCTACATGTCGGGCTTGCGGCGACGACGGGCCTCGCTGGAGTGCGCGCGACGGGCACGTGTCCTGGGCTGCGTAGCCTCTATGGTCGCGTACTTAGGTCTCACAGTTTAGGCTTCAGAGGCGGGGAGCTGTATTATGACAGAACCCCAGCGCCGTGCAACATGTGCACAAATATGCCTCACCAGTTAGGAAAGATTCACGTGTTATCACGTGTTCCTCTACTCCGAATATCGGGTCTGCCCAGGATGAGAGACCACCCAAGACGCCTCAAAGGCCTCTCGCCCGAAAGCCTTGAGTTTGCGTGGAAGCGCTTGTCTTGACTCAGGGTTCCCTTGAAGCCAAGATCCTAAGCAGGCCTCAGTTCAGCTAAGCATCAGCTGCGACGCTTGCTGCTGTGCCTGAGCCATCTTATTCTCGGAGGTTTGCCAGAAGATGGTCTCCTGTCAAGGAGAACTTGGCAAAGCAATACTTAGGCCTCTGCATGGGGAGTGCAGAAACCATATTATTCATTGAACAAGGGATACAGAGACTCTTGGGGAGGGCATGGTAAGAGGGCACCCAGGTAGAGCCCACAACCCCCGAGCTTTAGGCCTGAAAACCAAAGACCACAACCGTTACGTAGCTTCCACCGGTAATATTTCGTGAGCTTTTTGGTCTTGTTTCCAAGCGTTTACGGAATCATGGCAGCGGCTTCTCGAATCGAGCTGCATTTACAACCGCTTGGCTTTGGTTGCAGTCCTCTTTCCTACACAATGGACACTGGCTCTTGTTGTTTCGTCGGAATTGCTCATCAAGATTCTAACGTGCGGATTTTGTGGTCCTCTTCAGAACACAGCTGTTGCGATGAGAATCCGCATCTCTTATGTTGTTTGGCGAGGCAGGGCAGGAGTAGACTCCCGAGCGGAAACTACCTTGAAGGTTTCACGGGAACTGAGGTAACTGAGGATCACAAGTTCACCCGGAATTCTTACACTTTCCGGACATTCGGCAGATCAAGCACACCAGGACAAACCGTCAGCACTCCACCACCAAATAACCTTGCGACTCTCGAACACCACCAGGACCATCAAGCTACTTTCAGGATTCAAGACTCCAATGCCAAAGACCACCCCAAACCGCTTCGTCAATAAGTCCGAGCCTTTCTGGCCCTGCTTGGTGTGGCATCCAGCTTGAGCTGCGCCAAGCTTCCTCCCCGCGCGGGTTATAGGCCCGCGGGAACTGACACTCTCCTCTGACCTAGCAGGACCTGGCATATGAAAAGAGCAGGCTTCTGAAAGTCTCTGTGCCCGCATCTTCACGCCAACGGCCACTGCCTGAAGACCCTCGGATTCCCCAGCGTTCTGGTGACTTGGTTGCTCCGGCCATGGACATCCTATGCCATCGACCCGGAAACCTGAGCCCTCAATGTGCACCTACGCTCACTCTCTCACCATCTTCGTGCTCAGCAGGCTCTGCGGCAGGCTCCTGGAGGCAGGGCTTGGGCTCGAACATATCTGTGGTTGCAAACGGCGGTTCTTGAAACAGCGACACAAAGTAGCCGAGCAGCGCCGCGGGACAATGGAGTTTGATGGCAATCGCTGTGAATCGCAGAAGCATGAGCTCAGTGTGACACAGTTGACAGGTGTAAAGGCAAGAGAACACAAACGGAAGAGCTCTACTTACTTCCCAGTGAAGATTCCATGCCAGTTCTGACAGTGTGTGAAGCAAGCACGACAGGGTTGAACAGAAAAGACATGCCAAGACAAGTGCGCGATACAGCAGAGACAAGTCAAGCTTTCCTGGAATCGCCCGCAGCTGACTCCGCTACTGCGCTGCGCTGACACACATTCACGTGCTTTCTTTTGCTTGCTGGCCAATCCCTCCGCCTACTTGCAGCTGAAAGGTTGATTAGTTGATAGATTGAGCGCCTGCTGGTGCGAGCACAGCACCCTTGGGTCTTGAGTGAGATTTGAGTAGCAAGTCCATTTTCTTCAAAATACCTCACAGTACTCAACCTTGATTCCCTCGCCGAACAGACTTCCCGCCAAACCCAGAATTGACCAATCCCTCGTAATTCTTTGACGGCCCAGAACTCGCGTCCTCGACCTCCGGAGCTGTCAGCAGACTTATCGTCTCCTGGGTCCGCACTGTCTCAACACCAACAGCTGGGATCAGGCTCACAAGACTTTCTGGACCCCTCTGAGCCTCGCTGTGCAGCTGGACCGGCAGTGAGCCCCGGTGAACCAACGCCTAAGCAGGACACTGGGCCCATCGCATGGCACAAGCGAAGCACCGTTGTGTTCAAGTGCAACTCGCCCCTCCAAATATGTCCACCACTCAGACGAAAACACAGGCCCCACAACCTCAATGCCCATGACGCATGACCCTCTTCTGCAACGCGTACGTTCAGAAGGTGGTGCTGCTTTGCGAACTCCAGCTCCAGGTAGCCTTACGGGCTTCAGGGTGGCTAGCCCGACGTCATTTCCCGCGTCCGCTGCATACTCGTACACCAACAATCAGCTCGAGTCACTGCGGAGCTCCTTGAATTGTGCCGCTGGCAGCTCAGAGACCTGCATGGCTCCGCTCCCCAGACTCCCGTCCCCGAAGAGCCTCAGGAAGCCAGCGCCCAATATCCAAAGCCAAAAGAGCCGTGGAAGCACTAGACATGTGGAGATTGGGAGAAGGACTTCTTCGGATAATGAGCTTCGCGGCTTCTCGCTTCGAAGGCATCGGGCCGGTGCCCCCCGAAAACGTCCAAAGGGAGAAACAGAAGCCACTAGCAGAAAAAAAGCTGAGAAGTCGACGCGTTGTTGTACGTAGTCGTCATGGTGGGGTTGGGGCAGCAGAAGTAGTGGCGGCGGGAGTAGTAGCAAAAGTAGTAGCAGTACCAGCAGCAGTAGTCGTAGTAGTAGTAGTAGTAGTAGTAGTAGTAGTAGTAGTAGTAGTAGTCGTAGTAGTAGTAGGAGCAGGAGTAGCAACAGTAGCAGTAGCAGTAGCAGTAGGAGTAGGAGTAGGAGTAGTAGTAGTCGTCGTAGTAGCAGTAGTAGCAGTAGTAGCAGTAGTAGTAGTAGTAGTAGTAGCAGTAGCAGTAGTAGCAGGAGTAGTAGTAGTAGTAGTAGTAGTAGTAGTAGTAGTAGTAATAGTAGTAGTAGTAGTAGTAGAAGAAGAAGAAGTAGTAGTAGTAGTAGAAGTAGAAGTAGAAGTAGAAGTAGTAGTAGTAGTAGTAGTAGTAGTAGTAGTAGTAGTAGTAGTAGTAGTAGTAGTAGTAGTGGTAGTGGTAGTGGTAGTGGTAATGGTAGAGGTAGTAGTAGTAGAAGTAGAAGCAGTAGTAGTAGTAGTAGTAGTAGTAGTAGTAGTAGTAGTAGTAGTAGTAGTAGTAGTTTGTAGTGGTAATAATAGTCGTAGTAGCAGCACCAGAAGAAGTAGTAGTAGTCGTCGTCGTAGTCGTGGTAGTGGTGGTGGTAGTAATAGTAGTAGTAGTAGTAGTAGTAGTAGTAGTAGTAGTAGTAGTAGTAGTAGTCGTAGTAGTCGTAGGAGGAGGAAGAGGAGGAGGAGGAGGCGGCAGTTCCAGGAGTAACAGCAGCAGAGGCAGCAGGTGGCATCAGCAATAGTGTACAGTTGCATTCCGCTGGCTGCAGCAGCAGCAGCAGCAACAAGGGCAAGCACACAGCTGCTTTGGACAAGCCCCGACCTTCCAAACGGTCCTCCACCAGACGTTCCCCAAACTTACCTCATGACATGCGCAGCCGACGAGATTCAGCCGCTGTGGGTGCAGGGATCAAACTTGCGACCCCAAAAATGGGGCCGTCTCGCGGCCCCAGAAAAGGAGCCGCGAAATGCAGCCAACCTCCTCTAATATATTTGACTGGGAACTATAGAGGACCCAAAATTGGGGCCGCGTGGCGGCCCCCATTTTGGGGTCGCGAATTCCTTCATTCTGGGGCCCAAGCCCAAGCCCAAGCCCCTGCATTCCAGACTGCTACACACCGAGGCGACCCGCTCACGGCAGGCATCCAGTGTGAAAAAGACTCTCCAAGAACCAGAAATTTCCACAGACACGTGCTTGTGGAAGTGATTAACATGAGAGAAGCGCGCACAGAGGGGGGCCACTCAAGCGAAGCTAAAATTGCTCAGACTATTCGACCCCACATTTGGAGCCGCCTGCGCTGACCACTTTCACAAAGGCCTTCGAGGCTTCACTTGCGGGCGCTTGAGGCCTGCTGAGGCCATAGAGGTGGATTTTTGACAGCAACATGCACCTCGAGTCTGCAAGTTCCAAAAGAGACAAGCAACCATGAAGCAATCCCAGACTCCGATTACATGATGGAACTGACTTAAAGAGCAACAGATTTGACGGAGATGAAGATGCAACCCCGTTTTGCAATGGGGGGGTCCCGCAGTTAAGTGCATTTCTCAAAATCCGTAGCATCCGCCGACCTTCTCGATACAGAGGGGGAACCACCATGTGTCCCCAGAAACTACGCATTGGGAGGGTAGCTGGAACAAGACCAGATTTTAAGCCACTGACCTCCGAACGGACAAGAACCTGACCATCAGAAACGGTTGTACTGCTGTGACACCGGCACGCCGACAAGGCCACCGCGGCACATCCCCCTCCCCCAAATCTCAATGTTTGGAGCAGCACGGCCACAAAGCCCTGCGCAAGCAGACGACACGCACCTCCGAGCAGACGACATCATTGAAATGGAGGGGGGGGGGGTCCGTACATGCAACACAACAGTCTATGACGTCGCGTCTGTGAACCCTGCCAACCCCTACCGTCTGGAGGAAGCTCTCGCATCCCCAGCAAGCCTACTGTCCGACTGGAAACATGCGGAGTTGGAAACTCATCTTGTCACTCACACGGAGCAGAAGAGGCTGCGAGCATCGCGACGTCATGGCCTAACAGATTCCTCTGGCAGAAAGTGTCCGGAACCTCGTTTTTCCATATGGCCTAATGGATTCCCTCTGGCAGAAAGTGTCCGGAACCTCGTTTTTCCATATGGCCTAATGGATTCCCTCTGGCAGAAAGTGTCCGGAACCTCGTTTTTCCATATGGCCTAATGATTCCTGTGGCAGAAAGTGTCCGGAACCTCGTTTTTTTATATGGCCTAATGGATTCCTTATGACCTATCCTATGGCCTAACCTATGGCCTAATACACCTTCCCTATGACCTAATCATTTCCGTGTGGGAAAAGAAAAGATTGTATTCCTAAAACGCGAAAATGATTAGGTCATAGGGAAGGTGTATTAGGCCATAGGTTAGGCCATAGGATAGGTCATAAGGAATCCATTAGGCCATATAAAAAAACGAGGTTCCGGGCACTTTCTGCCACAGGAATCAATTAGGCCATATGGAAAAACGAGGTTCCTGACACTTTCTGCCAGAGGGAATCCATTAGGCCATATGGAAAAACGAAGTTCCGGACACTTTCTGCCATAGGGAATCCATTAGGCCATATGGAAAAACAAGGTTCGGGACACTTTCTGCCGGAGGGAACCCATTAGGCCATATGGAAAAACGAGGTTCCTGATTTTTTCTGCCACAGGGAATCAATTAGGCCATATAAGGAACAACGAGGTTCCGGACACTTTCTGCCAGAGAGAATCCATTAGGCCAGAAAGTTCCGGACAGGTCCTGCTACGCAGAGGACATCCAGTAGGCAGATAGAGAAACGACACTCCAGGCTCCTTCGGCCTGGGAACCCATAGGCCATCAGCAAACCCAAGCAGGCAGCCTTTAAAGGCGTTTTGAAAGACAGAAAGAAGATGAATATGGCTGGTGGCCTCCTTTTTGGCAGCATTCAAAGCTTTTCGTTCCTGCTTATGAGTCGCTCCACGCGATCCACCAAGGAGTTCTCCATATGATCAGAGGAGGGCGAAAGCACAACAACGTCGAGCCACGAACAGAAAGAAGATGAACATGGCCCATCCGCAAGGACACAATGCTAGAACTCCAGAAGACTACTGTGGCGATGGTTTGGAAACCTAGACCAGGCTCCAGCAGACTTTGCGAAGACACATCACAGTTCCTGTGCAGTACAGAGAGTCTGCATGGCTTGATCTGCTGTATTCAGAAACGCTGGAGTCACCTCTGGAAAAATTTCCCTGTCTTTGTACGATCTCTGTTTTGGTTACCTCCATAAAGCTGCATAGTCTGGCCGACGAGTTTGCAAAACCAAAAGGGAAACGTTGAAGCCACGTCGGTCAACTTCCCAGAGCTTGAACTACGACTCCCATCCACAGAAAGAACACCAAAAATCCGCGCGGGTCAACTGGCGAGCCCGCTGCACTGGACGAAGCCCACGTTATGGGGCTGTCGGGCGACCCCATTTCCAGGCCCGCAAAACACAAGCAATTCTGGCTTCGCCAGGTCGGCCCTCCACAGTACAGGAGGAGGAGGAGGAGGGAAGGAGCGGAGGAGGAGGAGGAGGAGGAGGAGGAGGAGGCGGAGGGAGGAGTGAAGTTCAAGTAAACAATACCGCGTGTTCGAAAAAGTTTTGCTTCAATTGCCAAAGTGGCAAACCCTCACTTGCAAGCTCTCGAGAACCTAGAGAGTCCTGTCACGATCACCAGTCAAAACATTGAAATCGGTCAGTCAGCTCAGTATTTATGCCCGCGGTTTTAGAAGACAAAACACTCGCAACCTGACCCAGGCAGCTAGGCTCTCAGCCTTCTCGCTGTGCGAGCAGTCGGCGCTCATGGCTGTGGCGGCGACAACTTTAGCTGGGATCTTAGGCAATTTAAGCCTAGGCTCACAGGCGATGAACTGGGCTGGACCGGGATGTCGGGGTTCAAGCGGCGATTCGCCGAGCTCGGAAACCTCGAACATGCCGTCGCAGGTTTTCTCGTCTGCATCTTCATAAATGCTCCATGGACTCTTCGGATTCGGAATGTGCTCTCTGAAACTGGTTTGCATGTGGTGCTGCATCTGCTCGTCCAGTCACTACGACTACTACGACTGAAGCTTCATGCCGCAAACAAGACACTCCACGCCCCCATGATCCTCCATGCCTCGCTCAGGCTGCTACAAGCCAGCTTCACCGTGCTGGCTATCCGAAGACTCTCTCTTTTCGGAGCGCTTTGACTCAGTCATGAAAGCCCGGTCGCCGGCACCGTGCAGTCTACGAGGCTTGTGAGTTAGCCGCGCATCGTCGTACAAAAGCCGTGCAAGAGCCTCACTCTATGGGAAAACCAGTCCGCTGATAAGCCCGGTGCACAGCATCAGGCTCACATGCCCTGCATCGTTTGGGATCGTCTTGGATCCAGGTCGGCACCAAGGGATGGTGGGCAAATGTCGACTGAATGAAACATGGTGGCTTGCTCCTGTTTGAGAACTTGATGCAGGTTCGGAAAAACGCCGGAGAGTGATCTAACTCGACTTGACTGCGTCCGACAACTCCCTTCTTTCGGGCTCGGGTAGGGATGCTGCACCACGATCTCATGCCCATCGAACTACTGCTTTGAATTTCCTGTGAAACGTGGCGTGGTGCAATGAAGCACCCGCTCCCTGTACGAATGCACAGGGAGCCTGGCATTAGCAAGTATCTTTTGCACGAAAACTTTATCGCACAA